GAGGCAGCAAACTCAGAGGCTGGTCTGATGATGCTTGCTTATGGTGGGAAGCAGAAATTCAGAGGGCAGAAGACAGCGTGTAAATCAGAGGGTGAAACAGCACAGGGATGGGGCAGGGCTCTAACAGGACTTCTTTTTCTTTTTTTTTTTTTAATATCTGGCTAGCTGAGCTGGCTTTAAAGCGACGAGGGGTTTGTTTAATGCTTCTAAAATTCAGAAGGGAGGTAACGACAGAGTATCTCACTTTGAGACTCTGACCCAGCTTGGGGTTATTGTGTCTCCTGCAAATGGACATCTTACCAGGAGCTCGAAGGGTCACCTCTCTAACAGGGTGCTTCCCTTGAGGTCCAGGCGAGTTAGATTCACAGCCCTTGGGGATGTCATGGTATTTAGAGGAGTAATTTACATTTTGTGAGAACGGAGGGGGAGGAACATCTCTGGTCAAAAGTAGATCAGAATTAGGCTGTGCCTTGATTCCCTATTGCTGGTCAAAGGCACACAATGGACCTTTAGCATCAAACCCAGCATCCTGCCCAGGTAAGAGAACAGGTCCCTGAGCTGCTGGATGGCCCTGACCACCTTCTTACTTGGAGCAGCCCCTCCAGGGACTGTCTCCATCCCCAGGCACCCCATTCTGGGATGGGACCTGGTTCTGCAGAAACAAGGACGGGGGTCTGGGTGGGGGCGAGGAGTTCTGAGCTCAGGCCTGAGTGTATCAAGCCAGAGATGTGGTGGTTGGACTGCGATTTATTTATTTATTTTGTTCCTTGCCATCAGTTAATGAAAGCCCTATGAAAACATTTTCTCTGCTCAAGAAGGAGGTTTTGGAGAAGGAATAAAACCGGAGGTGCATGACACCTCCCAGGTCCCTCAGAACAGTTTGGCAGCACTATGAAAACATTTTCTCTGCTCAAGAAGCAGGTTTTGGAGAAGGAATAAAACCCGAGGTGCATGACATCTCCCAGGTCCCTCAGAACAGTTTGGCAGGAGAGACTACCCCCATCGCTCCCCAACCCCACACAGATGCCATCCTGCCCGCCCCAGATGTACGACACAAGCGAGGCAGAACACTGCAAATCATACACAACATAGACACTAAACACGCCACCCACATGTACACAGCACTTGCAAAAAAAAAAGACCTAAAATGTTGCTATAGGTGAGCATGGATAAAAATCAAACGACCCCAAGAGTGTGGTGTAGGCACAGACGTGATCCCCTGTCGCTGCTGGGGCCGTGGCGATGGTGTGAGCTCTGGGCAGGGGTGGTGGATGAACCTCCTCCGGCACAGGTACAACAGGGACCTGGGTGAGGAGCACTTCTTAACAGACCAGAGACTTGTACTCTTTTGCCTGGGGTCAGTCCAACTCCGTGGAAGTTGGACCTAAACCCTCGGCTTCCTGATTAACTACTCAAGCAGGGAACTTCCATGAATATATCTATATTTGCATAAACATGCAATCAAGTTTCCTCATCCCTTTGACTGGCTTCTGGCAGCTCCCCCAGACAGACTGTTACTAACATACTGTGGGTGTAAAACGTCCTCCTGGGAAATATCAGGCCCAGAAAGCATGGCAAGGGGAGGAATGCGTGTCTAATTCCCCCATGAGAAGCTTTAAAAAAAGTCCTGCTGTTAAGTTTTATCTGCTCATTTCCAACAGAAAAGTGAAAACGCTGTCTCCTTGTTCACAAGGGGAGGGAAGGAGGAACCCCTGGAAAAAGGACAAAAGTTTTCTTCCACAGGGTGATTTTAGAAATTAGGAAAGGGTGTTTCTGGCATGTGTGCGAGCTCCCTGGCTGCTTCTACAGCGGCCGCCTGGGGAATGTTAGAGTGCGGCTCTGCCGTAGGAAAACTGCCCTTGAAGATGCAGCCAGCCTGCGTTACATCCATCAGTCTGGCCCCAGGGACTTGGTGCAGGATCGGGAGAGCCAGCAAGGGCAGAGCCAGCTTCTCCCTTGACCCAACGGCCCGGCCCTGGCATGGCTTAGCAAAGCCTGCAGGCTGCTCTGAGTCTGGTGGCAGGAGGTGGCCACTCCGGCGCCGAGGCAGCAGCCCTCCATGGGGAAGGTTCCTGGTCCAAGCGAGCGGCCGGTGGGGCAATGCAGCACCCAGCCTTCCTCCAGTGCGTGCTGGGAGCAGCACCCAGCAAGTACAGCGGGGGCAACTCTCCTGCCTGCTCTGGTATCGCATGTGGAGGTCAGGGATAGAGCAGGATGGGGTACAATTCCCCTCTCCTTCCAGCCAGGCAAGACCAGATACATGGTTTAACATTATGGTGGGACAGTGAAACCTTCATTGCTTTCCTGCCCTGCCTTGCGATGGAACTGTAAGAGAGCATCCCTTGCAGCTGTGCCAGCCCTGTGCGGGCCAACGTTGCCAAATGGCTCTAGGAGGTAGGGACTTTGAAAACCTTTTCTTTTTAAAAAAACAAAATTGAGAAAAAAAAAAAAAAAGGAAAAG